CAAAGCAACTCCCGAGCATACAGCCTAAGGAATGAAGGGACAGGAGCATAGAGTGACTTGGAACAGTCTTAGAGTATCCAACATCCCAATGCTAGGATGGAGCCAAACAGAGTCTGGTGCTATTTCAGCATACTGGTGGTCTAGCATGAGGACATGGGTACTCTACTAGCTAACATGGTGTGGAGCTTGGGCTTAGACCCAAGCCGGACGCAAAACAAAGACAGGCACACAAGCAGAAGCTAGACTATGCCTCTAGTTGGTTAGCCATGCCCGACCTACCCACTATACCTACTATACATTTGGAACCCTCCATACCCCCCCCCCCCCCCCCCTCCCCTTGAGGAACACACGCTTTGGGCTTTCACCCCAAGCTTCCCTTAATATCAGGAGTTAGTCTCTAGGACAAGCTCAAAACTTATTAAATATGCAATGGTGCTAAATTGCAAATTTGGACATGGGACGAACACCATTGTGTTCAAAACAATCTCTACATTCCATAGATATTCCAAATGAGCAAATCTAGACACTTCCCATAAATAGTATTTAGGACCGAAATGAGACTAACACAAAAAATATGATAGCGAGGGTGTTTAGCAGACATGGTAAGCTATCATTTAGTGAATATCAAGGGACCAATCTCAATATCACAGGGGTTCTTGATATTAGCAAGTGCAAGCCAATGACACAAGTTTATTAAACCAAGCCAAGTATGCTCAGCAAGAAACACATAGGGTTCCTACCTTATGTTTATTCAATCTAAGTGCATGTTCATTGACAATTTTTCAACTAGCTCAAGTGGGAACTGATAATAGGTCCAACAATACCGACCTCCTGCCATCGTGGCAGTAAGGAAAGAGTGTCCATAAGGACTGGCCGACAAGTAACTTTCGATACCCGAAGTCACATTCGCGACATATATTGGCATGGAACACATTATCAGATTCATTTTTCAAATAAAAAAATTTATAAAAATTAAAATAACAATTTACTTACCAAATTTTTCCATCCATTCATCTTAAAAATACTTGATAAAAATTATTTCAATCTTGAAAATCAACCTTGAAAATCAAGCTTCCTCCTAAAGTGGCTCAAGGTTTCACCTTATAAATAAGCTAGTTCCTATAATGTACCTTTTCCATATGTGCTACTAAGTTAATTTAATTCTTTACAAATTAGGGCTTCAGAGTGTTGGCACCATGGCAATCATTGAGAGTTGCTAAGGCTCCATTAAGGTTCTACTTAGTGCCTATAGATTGCTGGGGTAACTAATAAGGATCACTTTTATTGTTATGTTGTATGAAAGATAGTGTCCATCAATTCTAGTAATTGTAGATTATGACTAATAGTGAGAATCACTAATGATAGTAGATAGCAATAGGTGTAGAGATCAACAATGAGGACAAGATAGATATTTCTTCATTTGCAATTTGAAATGGATTAGAATCATAAAAGAAATATGATAGTGAAGGTTGTTTGACAATATCTTCTTTATGATTTCAATTTAAAGTAAATAGGCCATGCATTAGGCACCCCAATAGTACTTCTAAACACTGCACTAATTTTGTTGGCATAGGGTTTATGTTCACAACAAATTGTAGTAAAGCTCCAAGAGTTGATCCCATTGGAGGCTGGTGGGATCAACTAAGGAGTCTAGAATATGCATAAGTCATTAAGCAAGTTTGTTTTAAAGTCTTCACCAAGAAAAACCATGAGGCATTTATTTTTGCCAACCTAGAATGCTATGGAAGACATTTCTTGTAGGTGATAGGTTATTGACTGTACAATATTACAACCCCTATATACATTGACAATAAGATATAACAGATTTTTCTAAGTGCTTGAATTCTAACACACTATTTTTTATTCCTCTATGTTGGTGTAAATTAACACAATGAAACCTAGCACTAATTCCACTATATAGTTATTATTGTTCTGTGCACTAACATATGAGAGGATACTATCTACAACCTTTACACCTCAACAATAAGACTATTAATAAGACTATTAAAAGGTTACTTTGCCAAATTCTATAACAACATCAAGGAAACATAAATATTGTATGAGTAGAAATTCATTCATTCAAGTACTAATTAAGTAAATTCTGGATGACCTTCAACGAGTTGTGTGATCTTGAATTAGAAGTAATAACACTTTATAGAGTGATTTGGATAGGTGTATCAACTTCTTTTATATCTTCCTTGTCTAGTGAATATATCACCATTTGACACTATAATTAATTGTGCAACTATTGTTTTTTACCTAACTCTATCTACATTAAAGATTTTATGATGTATAAAATTGTTATTATGAACAAACTAGTGCAAGAGGATGGTTGATAGCCTAGAGTAGGAACTTTAGAACACTAATAGATAATAATTTAGCATGAGTCAAAATGAAAATGAAAATGCATTAGATCATGATCAAGAACTTCTTTAGATGGTTTGTTTGTAGAGAGACCCATGGCAAGTGCTACCTAAGTATTAAAAAGAGAGAATTATAGATTAAATAGTTTACACCCCATAACTGCGCAAGCTCTTTGATTTTATAACAATACTTAGCCTCCTAACTCACAGCAACTTTCTTTCTCTATTATGCCCAATATTTCCCAAGCACATTCCATTTGCCCATAAATGATCATCTCATCCTTTGATATTGAGACTCCCTCTATTTTATATGTATTTCCAAAGTTAAATTGCATCCCAATATAACAAAAACTGCTTACAATCAATGCAATGGTGAGGGTAGCATAGTGGGAATTACTTCTTAAATGATAGAATTTAATATTCAAATGTAGTTTGTAAAGAAGTATATTAAATTAATTATCTCCTCATGTGCTTATTGAATATTAGTTCATTAAGTTTTGGATACTAACCAACAGTAACTGGCCAATAAGAACATCCTCAAAATTGCATATTAAACAATATACAGTTTATATGAGTTTTTTTTTATGCTTTTTAGTTTGAATAATGCTTCAGTTTATGATGAATATGATATGTTAAAGATTATTACTAACTCTATGTATGTGTTTCAATCCATTGAGCACCATAGATACTACAATGATTGTTCTACATTTTCATTATGTCCTCAACCCAATATCTACTATCTAGCAAGGAGTCTCACCATTCTATGGTAGATTTTGGTTTCTGCAATGTTAGATTTTGGTGGACCCTCTTATGGTTGATAGCTATTCTCAAAAGGAAATGTATGAGTATGTTACCCAGCTTGACCAGTCAATTTATTTTTCTCTGTCAGAAAGTGGAACATTCACAAGCAATTTCAAGAATGAAGTTCCACCGGTTTAGGGAATCCTTCTTGGGAAAAACTCATGACTTGTGATTCAGATATTTATTATAATAAGTATGGTAGAGATGTAAATGTTTTTATATATAAATCTTCTTTATCATTTGAAATTAGTACAGATCCAAATCCAATAATAGAAATTGTTGATTTTAAAATAGATGGAGAGCCTTATCAATTAGTTGTTTTTCCAGGCTCGGCAAAATATAAAACAAAAGGTGATCATGGTTGGAATAATTGGTCATTTGAAGGATGTTATAAACATAATGATTCAATTATTTTAGAATTTCTAGATTATAAAAGTAATTGTAAATAAGAAATAATTTTCTGTATGTTGCAATACTTTCTTTCCTTTTTTAACATAAAATTATTTTATATGATCTCTAGTATTCTAGTATCGTAATTCTAGTTCTTTAGTATGTTTGACTAAGATCTATTTAAATTGGCTAGAGTGATAATTAGCATGATTAAATATTTTTTCACCCTTGCAACCATTTATTCTGTCAATTGGTTCTTAAGTTAGTTCTAATAGATTTAGATGTTATCTCTTTTGGATGATTTATTTGTGAGTATTTTTCTTATCTAGTTAATAATATTTTGTGTTCTTTAAGTTGCCTTTCCTAAGTTATTTGGTATGATATCTACAATCTTTGGTAGTTAATTAAGTTTTCTTGATGGTATCCTTGCTATTTGAAGTTTGTTGGATGGTTGATCCTATACCTTCAACCTATAATGATCTTGGTGGTTTATATACTATATTGGTTTATTAGATGATAACTTAATGAGAATACTTTTGTGTTTTAATCTAAGATTTATTCACTAATAATTTATTGTCTCTAAATAATATTTGTCTGGGTTTGGGCCAATAAAGGTAGACTAATTTTGGCACTTTATATATATGATGGGGTAATTACTGTTAATTGGTCACATCATCTTCTTCTTTTATTACTACGACAACAAAAAGTTAGTATTGCTAAACCTTTTATCAATTTTTGCCTAAATTAGTTGAAAAATTAGTCATCACATGTGCACTTAAATTGGAAGGGCAATAAAGAAGGAAATCCTAAATTTTCATTTAATCAATTATACTTAATGAGAAACTATTTGCTAGTATTAAAAACCCCTACAACATTGAGTTTAATCCCTCAATACTCATTAAGTAATAACACTGCAATAGCTTTGCACGTACAAATCTTCTGCTCCCATAAGGCAAAATTGCTGAATCCAAAACATTTAGATTTGCCTCTACATCCTCTATGAGTGTTCATCATTAGCTTTGTGCATATAGAGCTTCTGCTCAAACTGGCTAATGACAAATTGTGTGAATCAGTCCATAAGGCAAAGTCATAGGATATGAAACGTCGAGGTAGATGGGCAGATGGTCAACATTGTTTCCTTCATGCAAGTCACAAGATACTCAATCATCAAAGAAAAAGAAAGAAATAAAGCTCATCACGCACTTACCCATACCCCGTCAGAACAGTACTTCCTCCTCATAGTAATTCTCAAAAAGTTTGGATGTGTTCTCAAACCAAGACTGCAGAGCCGCTGTCTAGAAACCGAGACTGCATACAACTAGAGCCACTGTCTAGAAAGCTTTCCTGTGAAATCCGCCAAGAGCCGCTCTCTAAAAAGTTTTCCTGCGAAATCCGCCGGAGCGGAAGAGGAGTGAAAATATTAAGAGATCCTACCGACACGGGACATTGTCCTTCACAACTTTCTAGTTTATATTTAAGAGCTTACTGGAATGTCAACTGGTGGTACTGGAATGTCGTCTCTTATGAGGTCCTCCGTTGAGAATTCCTCGATCGCCGGTGGAAAGAGATGATCTCTGCTGTGCTTCGACTTGGTCTCCCGGCCAAGGAACCGGGTGTATTCATAATCGATAGTGGGAAGGAGTAAAAACTGGATTTGAAGATCTTCCGGAACCACTACGGGATGCCCAACGTACTGTCTATAAGCGCGCCACATCACTGTGTCCGGTGGCTTCGCGAAATCGTAGTCCACTGGCCGCATGTTCATTAGCCATCCCTTTTCGTCGGGGACCAACCTGCATCACAGAGATTTAAATCTATGTATTGGAGATCATGGAAGATATTACGAACCACATGGCTTCCACCGTGCAGTCCCTTACAGCTTTCTCCATGAAGGACGGAGTCCGCTCCTTGCAGAAACCATTTGCTAGAACCTGGCAAGAAAGAAAAGAATAAAAGTTTGCACACACAAACATGTAACTACCTCCTCCTCCTCTTGCGTGCTAGAATCCTGTGTCCCAAGCCGGCCATCTAGTCCAACAAAACTCTTGAGAAAGAGAACATATAACTCGTAGCTTACACGTCAAGTTGTGGTCGTAATAGATTCGGAGGTCGTAGCGTCCAAGCCAGATGCGAGCATGCTGCGTGCAAGTCGAGATGGCATGATAGTGCGGCAACACAGACAACGGTGGCCTCTCGAGAGCAAGCGATCGCAGGAGCTTGTTGTTGTGGATCCCTTCGAGCAGCAGTACCAGTTCCTTGACCCGCAGAGGTGCAGATTCTACGGAGTCCACTTCAACATACGGGTGAGGCAGCCGGACTCGATGTCCCGCAAGCTGCGAGTAAACCAGTTTTACTTGGTCTTGTCGAGCTCGGTCCCGTACAACCGATCTCATGTTCCACCCCTGTATGGAAAGAGCACGAAGAGAGCTCAAGGATTTCAAGTGCTGAGTTACTCACCAGATTTTCCACTGGGACAAAACTGAAGAAGTCGCACATTACAACTTTGGACACCAAGTCCAGTAGCTTTGGCACTTCCCCCGTAAACGTGGTACTCAAAGGGGACATTTTGATGCTCCACTTCTCCTCCGCCTCCCCTTTGCATCGCCCTGCAACTGTTGTCGACAAGAGAAACCAAGGAAAAAAGACTTCTTACATCTGAATTCCCCATTGCAAGGCTTGCGGTAAGGCTCTGCCGGCAAGAGATCCATATCAATAATGTTGCGCGCCACCTCAGTGGAACTCACTGTAAGACGATGTAACGAAACGAGAAAACTTTGGTCCCAATACAAACCTTCGATGTTCCTGTCCTTGCAAAACTCGCTCCACAAACGCTCCAGGTGCTCCGTCACCTCCCCATCTTGCTTCGATGCGTCTAGCGAGGCAAGGCTTGTAAGTCCAGTCCGCGAGAGCAGCACGCGGCGAGCGAAATCAACCATGCAGTCCATCTGCGTTCGCGCGCCATCCCAACCCAGCGTCGCAGCACACGCGCTCCTCTGGGCATCGGAGAGGCGGGCGATGTAGCAGAGTGCCAGCACCAGGAACAGCGTCTCGTCCGGATCAGAGGGATGCCATCTCGAAAGAATGGCATCTAAGCACGCGCTTTCGTGCTCGTCCAGCGCCGCTGCCTCCTCTTCATGCGGCCGAGCTGCTCTGGAGACGAACCTGGACACCGCCTGAGCATAACCAACATCCCTTGAGATGAAGTTCCTGACAACATCATCAAACCCTTCCCCTGGTTTCAAGATCTCGGTTGCCTTGGGGACAGGGCGATAGATGGGTAGCGTGGTACGCTTCAGAGCCGCAGATAAACTGCCCAGCAACGGAGATAAACGACACAGCGACGGCAGTGGAGAAAAACTACCTAGCGACGAGAGATTTCTGGAAAGCATCCTGTAAACACAAGAAAATATCCAATTGAGAGTTGGGTAAAATTTAAAATAGTGAATACAAAAATAATTAATTCTATATAATGTTATATGATTATTAATTTATATAATTATATAATTTTATACAAGTATAGAAATTCAATTTGAACAGTATTTTGAGTTTTCGTTTGTTAATTTCATAATATGGAATTTATTTAAAATGTTTAATACTATTGACATTATGAAATAATGTTTAGTTTTATTTTTCAAGTTTCTAAAACTGTTTATTGATTGTACAAATAAAATATCTATATGAATGTTTTTCCCTTGATTGCAAAGAGTAATGGTCCTTATGAACTCTGCCAGTAATATTTTAGAGTCTAAAATGTTTTTGCCATTACCATTACCATCTTGAAAGCATGCACTTTCATGCCTATCTAGTGTTGCTACCTCCTTTTCATGCCAAGCTACTCTAGAGATAAACTTGGACATTGCTTAAGCATAACCCCAATATTCTCTTGAGATGAAGTTCCTAACAACATCATCAAACTTCCCCTGGTTTTAAAATCTTAGTTGCCTTGGGGACAGGGTGATAGATGGGTAGCATGGTATGTCTCAGATCCACAAATAAACTAACTAGTAACAGAGATAAATGACCTAGTGACAGTAGTGAAGAAAAACTACCTAGTGGAGAAAGATTTCTACAAAAAAAACCTGGAAAACCTGGAAAGCATTGCTGTATGGTGCCCCAATACTCATGTCCTTGTTAACACAAGAAAATGAAATTATATAAAACTTTTATATATACATATATATATATACACATATATATATATATACACATATATATATATACACATATATATATATATATATATTATAAATTGTAATGCTAAGAAAATATTGGATGAATACAAAAATATTTATCATATTGTGATTATATATAAGAGTTATTTTCATCATAGTTTAATTCATCCAAGAATATTATTAAGGGTTTTAGCATGTAATTAACTTAGAGGAAAATTAAGGTTGCATTAAAACTACCAAACCTTTCATAAATATATTAAACAAGCTCTATCTTAATCTAAATTTAGGGTATATAAAAGATATAAGATATTTTTATAGCCAAATATATGCCTCTATAAGAGAATCTTTTTTCACATATAAAGAAAAATAAAACTCTAAAAATAAAAGGAAGTTTTCATAATATTTATTAGCTGAGTTTATAATACTTTTATATTAGAGCCACTACAGTCTATAAAATGCCATTGCAACAAATAATACATCCCATTTCTAAGTTTGCCTATTAATGATCCTTCAAGACCACCATTAACTCAAACTTATGACTATAACTAGAACTTGCCTTTGCATTTTCCCTTTGATTAATATCTTGTAAGATCTTGAATTTAGAATTTCTAGGAAATCACTTAACCTGCTTAACCCTAAGTATCCCAAAACTTTTAACAAATTGGTAAAAAAAGTTCATTTTTATTCATGGGCCCTTTTTTTTACATTTAAACTTTGTCGATTATCTTTCAAGTTGTTCACTTTAGTTGCTTACATATTCGAGACCCATTTTAACTTAAACTCAAGACTGTTGTCTTCATCCAACACCACATATGGAAAGTTAATGTAGTGCACGTGGTTTTTACCCTCTATCCTATGGTGATTTACCATAGGATAACACCACGAAGCAAAACCTAAACCCTCTTTGTGCCACGTGACAAATGCCACATGTCACATGCCACGTGTCCAAAGGAACGTGGTGTGGAACCTTTGGTTTAGGGCCTTGGGCCACTGAACGAAAGAACGGTGCCAAACTCCCAAGCATGGAGCCAAGGAGTGACGGAACCGAACCACAGAGCAACTCCCGAGCATACAGCCCAAAGAGCGAAGGGACAGGAGCCCGAAGTGACCTGGATCAGTCCTAGAGCAACCAGCATCCTAATGCCAAGACCAGCATGCAAAACAGAGCCAAACGGAGTCTGGTGCTATCTCGGCGTACCGGTGGCCTAACGTGAGGATATGGGTACTCCATCAGCTAGCATGGAATGGAACTTGGGCTTAGACCCAAGCCGGACGCAGAACAAGGACAGGCACGCAAGCGGGAGCTAGACTATACCTTAGGTTGGTCGGCCATGCTCGACCTACCCACTATCCCTACTATATATTTGGAACCCCCCCCCTCCCTTGAGGAACACACGCTTTGGGCTTTCACCCTAAGCCTCCCTTAGTATCAGGAATTAGTCTCTGGGACAGGCTCGAAACTTACTAAATATGGAATGTTCATAGATTGCGAATTTGGACACGGAACGAACACCATTGTGTTCAGAACAATCTCTACATTCCGTAGATATGCCAAATGAGCAAATTTGGACACTTTCCATAAATAGCATTTGGGACCGAAATGAGACTAACACAAAGGGCATGATAGCGAGGGTGTTTGGCAGACACGGTAAGCTATCATCCAGCGATATTGAGAGACCAATCTCAATACACGAGGGTTCTTGTCACTAGCAAGTGCAAGACAAAATGAGACGGGAACTCCTTACCGGGCTAAGTATGCTCAGCTAATAACACGTAGGAATTCCGTCCTTATACTCGTCCGGTCTAAGTACACTCGAAATGCCTAGTTAACTCCACTAGCACAAGAGGGACTGATAAAGGGTCTAGCAATACCGACCTCCTGCCATCGTGGCAGTAAGGTAAGAGTGTTCGTAAGGACTGTTCGACAGGTAACTTTCGATACCCGAAGTCACATGTGCGACACTCTCCCCCCCTAGGGAAGATCAACATCCTCGTTGATGCACACTCGAGTCTAGAATACCGCCAAGGAAAAAACTCCAGAAAAAGTTCACGGTACTCACACTATGTGAGAAATGCACCAACTTAAATGAGTTAGGGGGCAACCTCTTTGTCTAACACGGATGCGCTACCAGCTCAGACACCTTCTGGCCGTCGCTAACAAGGAAATGACCAATGGATTCAGCCACCCTTGCTGCTCTGGGAGTCACCCAGCTTACAAAAGTGTGATATGCCCCTGCCCGCAAGGACATAAAGAGAGAAGCCAGAGGCCCAAACCCTCATGAGCAAAGAAACCAAACCCGTCGGTAAGGTTTAGATAAACTACTGTAAATAGGCAGTTAGAGTTGTTTACACGGTCACGCCCTTTCAACAAAAAAGGAACATCGACAGAGAGGCGGGTTATGTGACCAGTCGACAGTAGCTACCCCATGACTAGAGATTTCACCATGCACACGAAGTGCCGAAGCCAATCTGCCTATACTAGCCCAAACTCAAAGATCAATATATGGACTATATCAAAGTCATAGACAATGATATCTTAGAGACTTAATTATCAGTGAATATATCTTAGATGAGAACACAAAAGTATTCCAAGTAAGTTATCATCCGATAAACTAGTATTACAATATAAGAACCACCAAGATCACCAGAATTGGAAAACATAGGATTCACCATCTAACAAAATTCAATAACAAGTATATCATCAGGTAAACTCAATGAGAAAACTTAACTACTGAAGATTGTAGACAGTATGCTAAACAACGTACCAAAGGTAACTTAAAGAACACAAAGTATCCTTAACCAACAAGCACAATGCTCGCGAATGTATCACCCAAAGGAAATAACATCCTAATCTATCAGGACTAATTCGAGCAACAATCAACAAAACAGAATGAATGTGGTAAGACCAACAAACACTTAATTATACCAACCATCGCACAAGTCAATTGGAATAGATCCCGGTCAACAATACCAAGGAACTCAAGTTGCTTTAGCAAGTGTCAGCAACATTCGACCGATATCTCAAACCCAAGAGACCAATCCAGAGCAAACCACAAAGAACATATGGTATTGCGAAAAGCCATAAGCTATCAAAGAGAACAACAAACCACCATAAAAGATCATCAATCATCCCATCAAAAAGAGATATGCAGAATCATTGTCGAAGAAGGAATCCACCATCACAAAGAATGGCAAATCATTCTATACCAACAATAATCAAGCAAAACCTTTTGACAAGGATAATCAATTATCCTAGATGATAGTCAATCATCACCAATGATTGCTACATGCAAAAGCTAACTTCAACATCGAAGCTAACAAGCCAAAATGCCTTCCCCAACAACTTCTAACAAATGGAATAATGAGCATAAAACTCAAGGAACCAAAGCTCGAAAAAGCCTATAGCTAAGTCTTGCCTAATAATGATCACAAGTCTCATAAAAGCTAACTTCAATGCAAAAGAAGAAATCGTGATGCAATTCACAATATCTTCCTCAACACATCCATAAGCCAAACTTCATAATGCCAAAACTAATGAAGAGCATATCTGCATCAATCCAAAAGCTAAGCATAACAAAGCTATGCTCAACAAGTGATTATCAAACGATCCTCCATGAATCCATCTATAGTAAGACATAACTCACTTCATAACAAGCCCAAAAAGAATCATTAATGTTTGCTATATCTCGAACTCAAATCCAGTAAGGACTCAACATTCTAATATCGATCACTAACTCTTCCTCTTGTAAAGTTAACATAGTCCACGACTAAATCACTTTTCAAGGAAAAGCTAAAGCTCAACCCTCTACTAAATAATCTCGTCTAGAACACAACTAACTCAACTTACCACTCAATTCGTTTGAACGTCAACACAGTTGCTAACTAGCAAATGCACGAATGCCAACAATACAAAGCTATAGCCAAATCATCGACACTATCTTCATCAAGAGTAATGAAACTCAATATCAATCCTTGGAAGGATATCTCATTTCACTCAGATCTCAATATCAACAATGTCAATGACAAAGCATCACTTCAATGCCATCAACACCAAAACAAAGCTAGAAGAAAGCACAAGTGAATCACCACTCAAAACTCTCTAGCAACCAAGCTAACCAAAGTCAAAGATACCTTAGTCAGTATCCGAGACCAATCCTCCAACAAAACTCAGTTACAGATAACACTTCATCAAGGAGTGATTCACCACGTCCAAGACTCAATGAAA